TCAGATGAAAGTTTTGTTTCAGTTCCATTCATAGGATTTATTAGAATTTTGTATGTTTTGCCAAGTCCAATAATTAGCTCTATGTGCACGTGTTAATTGGAGACTTTTCTATCCCGTATAAGAGTTTTGGAACTAATTCTGTTTCTTTTTTTGAAAAAAGTGAGCAAACAAATCTTGCACATTTAAACCTTTGTCTGCCATCACACTGTCACCTGGATCACATAATTGAACTACACATGTATTCTACATCTTTCAACTATTTCACAGTCACTGGTACAACCAACATATGCATTAGAGACATACATTTTTGTAGTTGACTAAACCACCAGGTGTCGAACATACAAGTATTTTCAGTGTTTCTGTTTTTATATGATGAAAAGGTTGCCTGATCTCTAGGAGCTTTATGTTTTATCACGGGATATTCTGTGCTGTCAATAATAATCCAAGTTGTAGGAAACTTTAATTTGAAGTTGGATGGCGAAAAATACCTGACTAAACCACTAAATGGCCAAGTGTTAGCCTCACGCCACTGTTTAGACATAAAAACAATCCATGTTTACACAATATTCTTAACACTAGTTTCAATCTAGAATCTAGACAGTTCAAAGTTGGTTGTATAATGCCTCAATTTCATCAAAGTCATAAAAAAAATGATTTCCAAATGACACCCTATCAATTTGAAAATATATGTATCTCAAACAATGTGCTGCTGGACCAAGTGTGGTCAAAACAAGTAAAAATTTAGTATACAACTCTAAACTGGTATAAAAATGCATGGCTGTGTCATGTGTCTTCATTTCAAAATTTTCTGCTGTAAATATAGGCATTGTTGGTGTTCGCGTAATTCCATCTGTGAAGCTCAACATTAGCTCGGCAGTTGGTGGTGGACAGTCATAAATCCTGTCTGCAGTATGAATGACTTCTTCAGGAAAACCAACTTTACAATCAAAACTTTCCTCTAGATTTCTACTACAATATTCATCAAGTTTAGTTCTTTTGTTTTCACAGGAAACTGCCCTGATTTTTCTTTTTGCGGACGATTCAGTCTCTTGCTTGATCCAGGAAAATAGGCTGGGAATGGCAGTAGACTTAAGTCTCTGTATGGAGGGTTTGCGCTCTGAAAAAGGTTATAAAACATTATTTTTTTGATAATTAAATGAACTTCCATTAGCAATGCATACTTTGTACTACCTGGCAAAATATTAACTAGATTTATTCATTACAATCTGGATAAAACTATGTTAGCCTGATTCAATGTACATCAAAATGTATGTTATGTAAATCCAAAGGACAAACAATGAGAGTCGTATGCAACAAACATACATTGTTTTGTTCCTGTTAACATTGTCATTGAGATTTTTCAAGAAAGTCTATGAGGCATAGCTTATGCATTCCTGTCATTACTACATTAGCATAATTACTGCTAAAATAATTCTCAGTATGATATACCTCTTGTAAGAAATCATTATAATTGTAGCAAGCACCAAAAAATCTCAAACAGATCACATTGAATAGTAATCCAAAAAATTATGACGTCTTGAATTAACCACCCCCTTTTATTCTAAAACGATAATTGCGGTTGTAAACAGACTTTGGTTTATTCGCATGGCGATTACATATATAACTATATATTTTAAAAAGAAAATAGAGTTTTACCATGAATAGTTTCCTGCACGTAGTCTTTTTCAGTAAAATGTGCCTTGCAAACAACAGCTGATTGAGATGGACTCCACGATTTCACCGTGTTCTCGTCCAATCTGCGTATGGGCCATGGCGTTGATCCAACTTTTCCTTCTTTTTAAGTCATTTGGAAATGCATGTCCTCCTCTTAAATGACATCCAGGTACACAACAACAAGTACTTGCCATCGTTAATTAAAAATGCAACTGTAAATAGTTGCACAGTGCAGAAAACGGAAGTTGAAGAATAGGATAGGCTACCACGGCGCCACCTATTCAGGAACGATAATTTGCTACTTTATATAACTGCGAAATAACAATAACGTTAGACGGGTTCGCGTGCATAAACAGAAATGCGCTTTGAATTGTATAATATAATTCATGTTCAGTCGACCTTTAATTATTATATCAACGACTGAAATGATTTGTAAACATCTAGACTGCAGATAACACTCGAAATTAACCCGACCTCTTTACACACGGAATTCAAATAATTCTAGTTTGTCAATCGGTTGACTGCTTATAATGTAAAATTCAAATATATCAAAAGTTTTTAAAACTAACAAAACACAATGATCGTTTCTCTATTTCCCAATGTAAATGAAATGAAACAAAAAACATTTTATATCACAATAAGAAGAGGAGAGAATCAACATTTTCCGGATCTACTTGGAGCCTAATGACCCCCCACGTAGATAAGTTGGATATCGCGGAAAGAAAGATTAACACGGCAACTAGAAAGGCATAAAAGCACTGCCTTTAAAAATGTATTTGCCGACTTGTCACAGGTCAGTGCTTGGGTGGAGAGTGAAGCCATAAAATAGTTATCTGTGATCATAAAGTTATGAACTCTTAATTAAAACACAAAAGAATCATGTTACAAGTGTTAATTACATCGATTAAATCCAATCAACAAGGTTAACCTCATAAGGTAAATCGATCACGTGGTGTAAACAATCTGTGTTGAACTAGTTTGAACTGGTCAAATTTCACCTGGAATTTTATACCACATGGAAAAGATTTAACAAGTCGTTTAAAACTTTACTGATTTAGGATTTTTTAACTGAAAATTTTAGCACCACAGAGAAATTATACATTGCGGTAAGAATGATACCACCACGGTAAAAAATTATACATCGTGGGCCCACGGTCCTTTAAGGGCCTGGGGAGAACACTGCAACATATATTTAGATAATTTGGTTACTCTCAAAAGAAAAACAAAACAAAATGGAGAATTGAAATAATTTTTCACACAGATTGATGATTTTTAGATTAAAAAATGATCCTACAGGACATGTATCATATACATCTTATTATTTAATCAACTAGCATGTGATGTCTACAGGATGTACATGTACATGCATGTCGTGAGCAGAAGCTACCCAACTTCTTTTTTTCTCCATTGCTTAGTATCAGGCCTAAAAAAAAAAAAATCTGTGTTTCCAGTAACATCATTTTGTTAAATAGGGTCGGTAGGTCGTTTTTTTTTTTTTTTGACATTGTAAACGAAATCCGGAAAATTATCATGGTTTTTCCAAGTCCGTGTCCGTAATTAGTTTCAAATACCGGAAGTGCGGCCATTTGCAATGCACCTGCCGTGCAAATTTCTTGGATTTTAACCTTTTTGGAATACCTTTTGACATAAAATGTTTTACTGGCTTTCTGTGCAGTTAGATAAATAATTATGTCGATTAACAGAAGCCTGTGTCAAAAACAGGGTCGGTTGATACCAATTTTTTTTTTTTTTTTTGAAGATCAAATAAAAAAATAAGGGTCAGGGCTAAAAAACAGGGTTGGTCGGGTTACCGGAAACACAGATTTTTTTTTTCTCGGCCTCAAAAAGAGTAAAACAATGAATGATGCATTGTGAATGTGAGTAAAAAAATATCAACTTCACATCACCAGATCTAGCAGTAAAAAGGGTGAAATTGGTATAGTATCGCGATGTAGTGAAGGAACAAAGAAAAGAAAATATATTGCAACTTTCCCTGTATCACCTATGCCTGTTACAATTTTTTTTTCATATGCTACGTACATACATGCAGCCCCGCAGAGAGAGAGAGAGAGAATTCTGGCACATAAGGGCATGCATTGTAATATATACATGACATAAAGAAACTAGATACATCTTGTAAAACGAGTATCGTCCTTTTAGCATGTGTTAAGATGCAGGGAGTTATATTTCAGTCAGTGTGTGCAGGTACGTGGGAATTCTTGTTTTCCAACATAACTGTTTAGTCAGTAATTCTAGCGTTACATGACTTTCGTGGAACTCTTTCATGTTTTCTATAATTTCTGTATTAAATCTATCTATCGGTCAAAATATGATATCTAAACATAATTGAAAATTTATTACTTGTATATGTTTTTAAAGGCTCACTCTAAATGTACAATATACTTTTAAGTGATTGTGTAAAGGATTAGCTTTTACCGAAACTTTGAAAGACATTACCAAATTTTCGAAATGTTTTTTTTTTAAATGACATATAATAAACAATAAACATGATAAATAAGAGATATTTTTTAAATGTTAATGTTTTAATACAATTTTGATTTCATCAAAATCATCACATTTTCTCAATATATATATAGATATCAGTATATGTATTCATCATCTAAAAATGTTGTATTAGACAATTATTAATTAATAATTTATAATAGTTACGGTAATTCAGATTAACATTTTACAAAGATAAAAGATTTTATCTTTTTCACACCCGTTGTCACCTGATAAGAAATGTTTATTGCCAATGATTAACAGGTTCTATAATTACAAGTTCCCCTCATCAGCGTATCAATGGAAAAGCTTCACCTACAGTGATGCCCGGCTGCTGTATCTAAGGAGCTGCTACGTCACACCGGATAATAGTCCAAATAATTATGACGTCTTGCAAGGCTATTTTATTTTAGCCTTGCAAGACGTCATAATTATTTGGACTAGCCGGATAAGAGAATGGGATTAAATTACATTGCTTAGTGAGGCTATTTGCTAGGCCCAAATTCTGCGGAATTTAACTATTTTTCATAAATGGGGCAAGTTTGCGGGCCTAATATTCAGCAGGATTTAAACCCTTTTCATAAACTTGTGGGATGAGTTGGTTCACGAGTGTGGCGAGTCAGTAGAAAGTTGGGGTGAGTTCGTCTGGAACGATTTGTCATGGATTCGTCGAGTACAATCCATAATTGGTATAGAAACAGAAATAAGACCAATGTAAAATTTCATTCCTATCAGTATCAATCCATTTTCTTTTAATAGCTGCGGAACAGGCGTAGCTCTTCTAAATTGTACCGAAGTTATTTCATTAATTCAGTGAATCTTACCAATTTTTTTAAATGAGCAGCTTGTTCTTTGTGAAAATCAAGCTTATGAAGAGAAGTTGGACGGTGTTTGTCAACCCAAAGACTCATTCTAAGACGTCTTAGATTGCTGTTGTCGTTTTTAAGTTTTCCCCGCGCAATATTCTGGGTGAGAAAGGTTAATGGAAGCAAACGTAAGTTATACAGTTTTAAAACGCTTGAGTGATCTCAAGTGATAACTGTAAAAATAAAACAATGTCTGATTAAATATGAAAATTTTCCGGATAATAGCCAGTCGCATGATTTAAAAAGTGCACTATATTTTAAATTATATACCCCAAGGGGACATTCAAAATAATTTGAAAAAAATCACTGAAACGAGAATTGTATAACCAGGTATAACCTTGGAAAGAAAAAAATTCAGAGATTGACGCAATTTATCATTATATTCAGATTCGGCACAAGCCACATAGTAATGAGGGGCCTGATGGGTTATTTTCGTTCTTCGTGATCGGCGCATTTTCGCTATCGTGATCCGTTTTTCTACAGATTTTTTTTTTTTATATTTTCGTGATCCGTGATCATGGAAATTCATTTTCTGTGAATCGTGATTGACAAAAAAATCAACTCGTGAATCGTGATGAGACCTCCCCATCAGGCCCCTCAGTAATAAGTATGTATATAATCTACAATATACATGAGCTTAAAAGCTCTTACAACCGGCTATATTAACGTATAACACAAAAACATCACAATAATCATAGTTCCATCTAAGGAAACTTGAGTAGACATAAGCACAAAAATAATAGCACACATGAGCATCGAATGAAAAAAAAATGTGATCTGCATTTTCCAATTTATTTATTGATCAAATCATATATTATGAATCCTGGATATTCAGTTCTTTTGCAATTGTTTTCAGGATAAACCACGATATATATGCTACACCGATCAAAGGCTGCTATAAAGCGGAAGCTGGACGGCTTGGAATTTGCCAGTACTTTCTAGGGGGGGGGATTATTTTACGCAAACAATCGGTAATGATAGAAACCGGGCCTTGTTGGTCCTATCGTCAATAAACCCACATTCTATTCAGACTGAATGAAACTGTGTTTCTATACAGCAATTCCCCGATACCGGCTGCTCTCCAGGGTCTTGCTGTCAGACTTTAAAAACTCAGTATTGCATAATGCCGTCACATTCTTACGGACGTATATTTAAATAGATTCTGTTTAAACAACATATGATTGTATATGTATATAGTCTCGGTTGATAAGCATTACAACTTTAAATTATCAGTTTTTAAATCGGACATATTTCATTTGACCCGATCTATATACCAGTTTGATAAATATGGAAAAGGGATCTCCATACCCACAGCAGGCGCCTCAACAACAATATGGTCAGCCTCCACAACAGTATGGTCAGCCTCCACAACAGTATGGCCAGCCTCCACAACAGTATGGTCAGCCTCCAAACCAGTACGGCCAGCCTCCACCAGGTAAGTGCTCAGTCTTTATATATTCATTTTCCATTTTAATTTTTTACATTAATGTTCAACTTAAATTGTAAACTGTTATTTTATATTTTATGAAACATGTAAGACATGTCTTCAAATAACCACTGTATAACAGTTACAACAGAAAAGTAAATATTGAGAGGTGAAAAAGTGAGAAGGACAGGAATTTAAAATATGCTCTCTCTCTCTCTCTAAAAATCTCTTTTAATGAGTTGCATTCATTCTCAATTACTACGCAATTATTTTTAAACTACACCTTTTTGTAAATCTTCTTCAAGAATGTTCATGTCTAGAGTCAGTCGACATATTAATTATTAAAGTTTAGTTAAATATTCAAGTTTCAAGTTACAAGTAAATCGTTCATCGCAGTCATTTATATATAATCTTACAGATATACATATTACATATAGTAATACAATAGATTATATACGTAATAATAGTTAGCTTGTCTCCGTAAAAAAAAAAAAAAAAACTCGAAGGCAAAAGTGGGATTGTGATCCACACCGACCAAACGCAAAATTCTTTACTATATTTAAAGAACAAAAACAAATTGAACAGTGAACGGCATGATGAGAAAAGTCTCCAAAATAAACCACTATAATTGATAACATTAATTATGATCTATGGCTACAAAAGAATGCAAATTGATGACGACAAAGAAATGAAATTATATATTTATTAAGTGTTATATTTTTACAATGAATTACTTAACGTTATCAAATATCACTTGTCGAACAAGTAGCACTGGTCATGTGTGAATATTTTTTAACGAAAGAAAGGCACAAAAATCATGCATATTTAGATAAAAAAAGAACAAAAAGATCCCAAATGCAAAATAATTCAGAATTGGAAAACTATATCCAAACGCAACGTATATCGTAATAACATTAGATAAACACATGTATGATATCAAAATAGGAGATGGTATATATGATTGCCAACGAGAAAACTATCCAGGACAGGTTGCTTACTGTACGGTATGGGTTTTGCTCATTGTCGAGCCTCCTCATGGGGTTTTTGATTATGTGATTACTTGGCCGTTTTTATAGTGATTATTTGATTACCAGACCAAATACTTGGACAGTATTTTTGATTATTTGATTATCTTGTTTAAAAAATAATCAATGATTATGTGATTATATTGGCAAAAAAATTGTGATTATGTGATTAATGGACACCCCCATGAGGGGCCTCATTGTCGAAGGCCACATGGTGACCTATAGTTGTGTACATCCTCGCCGTCCTTAGGTAACTGTTGGATAGTTGTCTCATTGACATTCATACCACATTTCCTTATGTTCATACTGAGAGCTCTCACTCTGCTTCATTTGTTAACGTCAAACACACACACACACACACACACACGCACACCCACACACACACCCACACGAACGACACAATGTCGTAAATATTATGATAATAAGTATCAAGATTTTTACATTTCAATATATTCACAGCTTACGGTGGTGGGCAGCAGCAGCAGCAGTCGTCAACAGTGGTGGTTGGACAGCCACAGACTTTGGTGTTACAACAAACATTCAGAGATGCACCAGTACGTCTAACGTGTCCATCATGTAACGCAGATATAATGACAGCAATTTCATTTGAAGTAGGAACGATGGCTTGGGTAGTGGCTGGCTGTCTCTGTATATTTGGGTATGCTATTTTGTATTAATAACACACCACATTGTTCTCCCATCAAAATGCTTCAAAAGGAAAATTTTCAAAGTAAATGTCTGACAAAAATGGGATAAAGATGAGTAGAATGAACGTTGACATCGCCAAAATATACTTTTTTCAAAAATGCTTAGTACTGAACAGTATATACAAAAACTTACAAGTAATGAACATTTGTAACTTACTGACGTCACAATCAATTTCAAATGTAGCATTTTTGTGAAAACAGTCGCTTATTCTTGTTATTTACCTAGCTATTAGAAGTAAATACAAGTAAATTGTATGTTTGATACAATCAATGTCAATCGTGTTGTATCAGCTATCTGTGATGATATCGATACAAGACCTAGCCAATAGAATTCAACGCTGACATTGTTGAAAAAGAGTCCAGATGAACATGCCAGACAGATATGTACACCATACCATCATTCCATACACCAAATATAGTGCACTTTTTTGTGTATAGTACATGAGAAACGGACCTTACCATGAGAACTAAACATTAACAAATGAACCATGGAAATGCGATAAACTCTGTCAGACAAACATGTACATCTTCCAATCATTCCATACACCTTGAAATATTGAACTAATGAGCATAGAACTTATGAGAGTGGACTAAATCACAAAAACTTAGTATTGACCAATGAACCATGAAAATGAGGTCACGATAAAACGACAGACGGACATGTACAATCATCCCATACACGAAATATAGTTGACCTACGTACTGCTTATAATATCTGAGATACAGGCTTCGCCACGCAATTGAACTTAACCTTGATAAAAAATCCATAAAATGAGGTCAAGGTAAGGCGAACCTTGTCTGACGGACATGTAAACCTATCAAGGGTTCCATATATATTATCCTATTACTCATAATAATAGTCCGAGATTGCTCTGAAGTCTGAAAACAATTTTAAGACCGTCTGGGGCCGTGTCTAGCAAGCACAAAACACAAAAAAAAGGCCGCCAGACGCCTGAACTATCTAAGACTATCATAACAATGAAAAATATAGATTTTTTTTAGCAGTCTCTGAACCATGAAAACGCGGTCAAGGATAATTGACATGTAACAGACAGAAACTTCGTAACATAAGGCATTTATGCGCATGTTATGAAGGTCTGCTACCCTCTGTAATATAAATCATTTTACAAATATACTAGTCAACAAAAGTAACGATACACAAGTTTGAACTCCAATTTATCATAAAATATAATAAATAGGAAAAACTGTTGAATTATCCAATGAAAAACATTCATTTGCAAAGCAAATGCATATGATTAAAAGAATCTGCCCAAATTGGAAAGTGCGAAAATACCGTGTTATTGAACACAGGGGTCAAATTTATTTTGAGGAAAATGATGACAAAAGTCGGCACTTAATTTCGAAGATGAAAATTAAGTATTCAAATATCTGCAAAGGCATTCAAAATTTTAAGCAGACCATGTTTAAGTTTAAAGTTTTAAGTTCTAATATCGATTTTTGATTTTTTTTTGGTGAAAATACGATTTTTGAAATAACAAAAATTGCAAAAAAAAAAAAAAATCGCGTATTTGCCTTCAATCAATGGTTTTGATAAGAAAATAACATTCTGTAAATATTAGACCAATTGGGCAATTATTTACCTTGGTACAGCAGGGGCGGGTCCAGCCATTTATAAAAAAGGGGGGGAGGGTTTCCTAACCCAAGATAAAGGGGGTTCCAACTGTATGTCCCCATTCAAATGCATTGATCGTCAAAAAAAAGGGGGGTTCCAACCCCAAGACCCCCTTACTGGATCCGCCACTGGTACAGTGTATCCAATTTTATTATATATGGAAAATACATTGCCTTGTATCGTTTCTTTTGTTGACTAGTATAGTTGACGCTGTCGCCTCCACCGCCGCCGGATTATCATCTCTATATATCGCATTCTGCGAGTTTCGTCGGTAGCGAGAGAAAAAAATTACAAAATAAAAAAAAACACTGCTCACATAATGAGAATAAAAAATAACACTAAGGTTAGGCGCACATATCTAAATATACTTATAGGGTGCATTTGATTACTATGTACCCGAGGTTACCTATGGTTACCCATTATGGTATGTATGGTTGAACATCGTACAATCAATCATTTGTCTGTTTTTGCTTGTAGGTTATGGCTCGGATGTTGCCTGATTCCTTTCTGTATTGACGGCTGTAAGGATGTTGTTCACACTTGTCCAAACTGTAACCACATGGTTGGAAAGTTTAACAGAATGTGATAGAAATTACTTTTTTAAAACCGCACCAGAGCATGTTTATATATATATATATATAGATAATTAAGAAACATTATGTAACTGGGATGTGTTTTTTCTGAATTTATTTATATATGATATGAGTAAAAATTCAAATTTTGTAGACGTTTTCCTGTACATATAGTCTCTTTGCCTCTGAATCTAACATATTATGTTATAATGTACACGTTCTGTCTAATGGGTCCATCAAATATGTTATAACATATAATAATTTTTGTATTATATGTTGATGTTTACTATTCATAATTTCATTGTACAACTTGATAATCAATATAATTGCAATGCATCAGTGATTCAAGCAGTATAAATATACCACTGAAAGTTCATCATATGATTAGATTCCGAGTATTGAAAAAGACTGCATTGAACTTTTAAAGACGCACCGAGCTTCTGTTGTCTGTAATTGGTTGGTAGATGTTTTGTCGAGTCACGTGTTGATTGTTTTTTAACCAAAAGCCGTAGAACTATATACGGTAGCTTTATTACTGGCAATGTGAAGGTATTCCTGTACGTTGTCATGTGAACGACTTGTAAAAATGACAATGTAATTTCTGATATTTAATTAAATGACGAACATACAATGGCAATCTAATTAGAATTCAGATCTATCACAATTCGCGTGCTCGTATTATAAGCTCATATGAAGATAGCGAAATCAGAAATCTATTTTTTAATTAGATTTATACAATAGTGCATTTATACTGTTTGTACATTTGGGTTATATGAGAGAGAGAGAGAGAGAGAGAGAGAGAGAGAGAGAGAGAGAGAGAGAGCATGAGCATAAGAATGCAAAAGCCGTTCATAAGTTAATATGTGGAAACATACAGCATTTCATGTTGAACCTGTTTGACCCTTTCGGGTTATATGTTTTTTTAAAGTTTTAATCTACATTTTGTCATCCTGTTCTTAAGAGTCGAGATAACACGAGAAGATACCATTGAAAAAATACAACAACTTTAAATAACTTGGGCAATTTTCCAAAATAAAAGGTTGACTACAATGGAATTTGTTCAACCGATTCACAAATTATCAACTTTAAAATGTAAATGAATATTTATATTTAGACTTAATCATTGAATATATATGGTATCCGTATGTCCATCGTTTAAATGTATTTTCTAAGCATAATTTAGGGCCGTTTTTTTTCTATCTCATTTTATTTCTTTATGTATTAACTTTATAATATATGTATGTTCTTATGTGGTAGAAAATGTTGTTTTATTCATTTTATTATTTACTTTTTAACCATGTGTTATAATTTGGCAGAAAACATATCCCTTTTTAAGACTCTGGTTCAATTTGTGACAAAACCTGTCCACTGCATGATCTAGCACAAATTCGAATGCATGTAAATTCGAAATAATTATATATAAACTTATTCAAACAGACAATAAAATTGAGAATGGAAACGGGGAATGTGTCAAAGAGACAACAACCCGACCAAAGAGCAGAAAACAGCCAAAGGCCACCAATGGGTCGTCAACACAGCGAGAAAATTCCGCACCTGGAGGCAGGCTTCAGCTGGCCCCTAAATAAAAATTTGTACTAGTTCAGAGAAAATGGGCGTTACACTAGTCTCCGAAACATATAGATGAACCAAAATTAAAAAAAACAAAGGAGACTAACAAAGGTCAGAGGTTCCTGACTTGAGACAGGCGCAAAAATGCGGCGAGGTTAAACATGTTTTGTGAGATTTCAACCCTACCCACATACCTCTAGCCAATGTAGGATAAACCAACACATAGCAATACGCACAGTAATACTCAATTTAAAGAAAGTCCGAGTCCGATATAAGAAGAAACTAAGCAAAATGACAATGATAACATAAATTAACAAAGGACTACTAGCATGCAGTTGCTGACATGCCAGCTCCAGACCCAAATTAGACTTATTGAAAGATTATGTCTTCATTATATGAAAGTATATGTAACTATTTCTGACTTTTTGTTATATTTTGTAATAAATATAGAATTCAACTCTTTTCCTGATTTGTTTATATGGTAAACAATAAATGAATGAACGATTTTTTTGCTTAAACGCTCAGTGACAAGTATTTCAGTCATATTCAGGAAGAGGTCAAAGATTTCAATGCTAGGATCGTCAGTATACACAGAACAAACTGTCAGAATTTAAAGTCAAAGATTTCAATGCTAGTACCGTCAGTATACGCAGAACCAACTGTCAGAATTTGAAGTCAAAGATTGCAAGCTAGGATCGTCAGTATACACAGAACCAACTGTCAGAATTTGATGTCAAAGATGTCAATGCTAGGATCGTCAGTATACACAGAACCAACTGTCAGAATTTGAAAGATGTGATTACATATTATTAGTTACATAGTGTGCTAGTGACCTAATACGATATATATCGTATTAGGTCACTAGCACACTATGTAACGAATTTATCTTACAATGTACCGACTATCTTAACATGTGGTATTTAGACTAGTGGCCTATCAAAGTGATTAAGTCTTCAATACCGTTAGTATTAAGAACCTACTTCCATTGGTCTATACAAAAACAAATGCCAACAATAACAACTGTAACGTTAGCTTTAAATGTGTTTTATGAATTTATTTCAATCGTTCATCATCAATTTCTTCGTCTGTTGAAACCTTTAAGATTTTTCCTTAACACATTGTTGTTTTTATAAAGAGACGTAACACCACTACTAACCGTGTATTGAAATAAGCCCCGCCTACTAACCCAATATGGAATATACTCGGTCTCCACGCGGTTACTTTTAACCAATCATATTCCTAGAAATGTATAGGAGGTAAGATAAACTCATTTATCATAGCAAGGTACAGAGGATGAGGTCTGTTAAGTTAAGAATGGAAACTACAGGTTGTGAAGACATTTTGAATGGAGAGGTATCCATGGACGACAGAAAAAGCTGTAAGGTCATATGAGGACAAGATGTTAACGTAAAACGAGCAGAAAAGAGATAAAAGTAAACCAAATATTGATGGATAAACCTTAAATGCCTGCACGTTATCGTATTCAGGACAAGAACATGTCACGTAGATGTCTGCTTTCTTATTTATTTTGCTCCAAACCACATTACCAAAACCTATATATATCAGCCACTCAGGGATAAAAACCCACAAAAATTAAATTACATTCATAAAAATCTAGACATTCATCAAAATTATTCTTGCTAAAAAATATTATACAGTTGTTACAGTACACTATATATAGAATAACATGCTGTTTATTTTTTTAAATTTATACGAAATGAAAGCAAGTGACCATTACAGTTTGAATGAAGCGCGTAATGCTTATACTTATAAATTTTCAAAATTAAAAATATATATATTGAATCTGAACACAAAACTACGACAGAAATTATTTAGTCACGAAGATGAAAGTAGCATTGTTGACATCAAAAAAACCTTTCTGGGAATGAGACAGTTAGGTAAGTGGATGTGGTTCAGTAACCCTTAAAACATGTGATTCTGGAAATGAGACCGGATAGGCCTATACATGTAGACTAGGGGTGTTGGGTGGTTAACTCTGAACACATCTATCTTAGAATGAGGCAGGATAGATACGTAGCTGTGTGGGAAACACTTATTACATCCCTGTAGTTTATCATATGTATAACAATCATAATTATGGCTTTTTTGTGGGCTATTGAATCCAGATCAATATAGATAGGTAATTATTAAAATTCATATTGATAAGGTCATATAAATTGGTATTTGTATTTTTGAAATTTGTCTTATTCATTTGCATCGGACCTTCAAACTTCATGCACTTCATACAAAAACTATAAAGATTGCCAATACAGCCTCTCCTTTAGAGTTTTCATCAATATTAATATATGACCACAGGCCTTACCAAAAAATATATTTTGCTACAAGATGGCTTATTCAACAATGTTAATGTCTGTAAGAGTTTGGTCTCGCTTCATAACTAACTTTTCCAAAAAACTATGAGTAAAATTACTATTTTATGTCGAATATGCCAAAATCGACATGTTTAGGACATTGTAGTGGGACATGAAAAGATCATGATGGAGGTACAACATTTCTAAAAGGAAGTTGATGAACATCGAATATATTAAAAAAAAAAGCTTGTGCTTAATAAATGCAAAAGTAGTATACCGCTGTTCAATATACTTAGCCTGTTGATATGAAATTATGCCATTCTATACTCTAATAAAAATGGCTGCACTTCACAACTTTTTTTGCTTTTTAAAATAAATTGTTTGATTTCTTGATTTCTTATAAAAGAAAGTTTCTTCCAATAGGGAAGTGAAAAAAAAAACAACCTTTGTTTCTATTGAAAACTAGGGCAAAAATAATTATGACATTGAGTTTCAAAATGTTTTCCTGTTCCTGTATGTTATTTGAAAATAAAAGTAGAACACAAAGGTTTGTCCCGAGAAAAAAAAATATGAATCCTCAACAAATGAAAGGTCAGTTCCTTATACCCTCAAATTAGTATTTATCTTAACAAATTAATGTTGAATTTAAATGCCTACAAAATGAAGTATTTTCAAGGAGCAACATGGAAAAATAATATCAAGACAACTGAATCACTCAAACATTTTAAACATTTAATACGTGACCTTAAAACTGACCTTAACTGTAGCACCTACGTAACGTCGAGATAAGATAAACTTTATTGTTTAAACTAAAAGGAGAAAAAAAGGAACTACAGTTGGGATTTAAGCTTAAACTATGGAAAAAGGATCACCATACCCACAACAGCAGCCACCACCCCAACAGTACAATCAACCCCCACCAGGTAAGACATAGTACATAGAAAAGTATAAATATATATTGATCAAACTGTCATATTTTGAGGTGATATATTTAACACCCGTACAATGTATAATTCTAAAATGGTCCGCGGCTACGCATGTGACTAATTACAATGTATACTAGCACATTTCTTAAGAAATTTGATTGACATTTTTTTTTAAACATACTATATATATTGTAAAATTACGTAGTTAAAACATGTATCGATTTCATGGATGTTCTCGGAAGTTGTTTGAGATCAATTTTTATTTTAAGGTGTGACATTTTGTCTGTCACTTTATTAAAGCCTTTTATTGTTTGTTTATTTGAAATTTTATACACTTTTATTTTTATAAACGCAACATCATTGTATTCAACACAATGATCTTTATCAATTTAGAGAAACTAAGAATTAGCAATTTACTGCATGTTGTTTGAAATGCATTACAGCTACCATTTTGTAATGTTGTTTACGTTATCTTGTTATGTGTCAGAAGCGTTATAAAAATAAAATCCATTTACGAAATCACGAGAAAAAATACGGTATAACAATAACATCAAGAAATCACGAGACAAAAATACGTTATAAAAATAAAATCAAAAAATCACGAGAAAAAATTACAAGTGTCTGTACACTTTTTATTGAAAACGATTCATACACAAGATTGTCACCCTAGTTCCGTTCCAACACTTAACAGATACATAGATTTCTTGAGATTATTCTTTCTTAATTGAAATACATATATATATATAGTATTTTTTTTAGGAAGCCTCCCACTGAAAAAAAGGTGGTCCAAAATTGGTCTGTAACAGTTGACTGATTTTGCTTCAAATTCTTTGGTGTTTTTTTTAACTCAAATTGTTATTTGCCCTCTTTGGCGACTAACATTGTAACCGAAGTGAAATGTGTCCTCCGGACTTTGTTTCCTAGTTGTTCATAATTTTACTAGAAAAATAAGTCCTCAAGGAAAACAATTTCTAGGGAAATGAGTCCATAGGTAGTGAAATATGACTACACTTATTTCCCTAGGAAAATTATTCATTAGATACTTGATACTGTGAAGCAAAGTCCAGGGGACTTTTTAATTTCAGGAACCAAAAAAACTGTGGAACATAGTTTATTGTCTGAAAATTTTTTTTTAGTAATAAAAGTCAAATAGTGGGTCGAGGGACAAAAAAAGATCACAATCGTGGGTCCAGGGGACTGATTTGCGAGAAAGTTGGAATGCCACTGGAAAAAGAGGGTATATCGAATAGGTACAGAAATGCAGCTTTGCAACAGGCCACCTACAGACACAAACAGTAGTTGCAAGGGTTCTTATAATGCAAAGAGCGTGGCACTCTCTATACACGAGGCATCTGATGTCACGTCCACATTTTGACCGCACATGACTGCGAGTTTATATGCATCACGCGCAGTCAAACGGATGACTCACTTAGGTAAAGGTCCATATTTCTATACCCCAGTTAACCCTTGGGGTCTTATTTGTTAATGTTTATAAATGAATGTATACATGTATAATAATTTTGCTTCCAGCCTATGCACCGTCTGGCCAGCAGTCGCAAGCAACAGTCGTGGTTACACAGCAGCCAAATGTTTTGCTCCGGCAGACATTCCGTGAGGTACCAGTGCGTGTGAATTGCCCATCATGTAACGCTGATATCATGACCGCAACGCAATTCGAAATTGGAATGCTGACCTGGTTAGCGGCTGGTATGATATGCCTGTTCGGGTAAGAAAACTGTATTTTACAGTCAATTTTTTTTATATAAAATTAGTGTCGTATTGGGTTGATTTTTATCTTGTTATGTCTTGATATTTATTTTAGTTTTACTTTAATTTTCTTGGGGGTTGGGCCTGTATCTCCGCCTTTCCCTTGCCGTATATTCTTCTATACTTTGGCCTCTATTTACCGTCATTTAAAAGCCAATTTTGATTTTCATCAAGGTAGTCAAGGAATAAAGTTACTTCAAAAATTGATGGTTTATCTTCCAAAGATAACTCAGTACCAATAGTCAACTTTGCATGACAGTTTTTGAACGCAAATTTAGAAAGATGTTAACCAAGTAAATGAATCTAATGAAATGCTACTTTTTAAGTTGCAAGCCTGTGCCGAAGCTGAGTTACAGCTTACCCATTCGAATATGTTCACAGAACAATGCAATGAAATGTACATGTTTGTTAGGTTGACCATGAACCCAATAATACATGTGTACACTGCCTGTTGGCTGAGTTGCAGGTGTGAGAACTAGCCAATCGAATCATAGAACAGCCAACGCAACGATACTCCTGTAGAAACAATTAGACTAGTTTTGTTTATATATTTACAGCAGCCTAAAAATATTTCATTTCCAAATCTGTAAATTCTAAGTATGTCAAATGATTTAAATGTAAGAAAAAACCATGGACGTCAACTTGTTTTCATTCTTTCAGGTTATGGCTCGGATGTTGCTTGATTCCATTCTGTATTGACGCCTGTAAAGATGTTGTCCACACTTGTCCAAACTGTAACCACATGGTTGGAAAATACAGCAGACTATCATAAAACGCACGATCAAACAATGGTGTGGGAGGCTCAATACCTCGTCTTTACATATCACATATACAACTTTATGTAAATATTTATTTTGTAGACCACTTAAAATTTATATTGACCAAATATATGTAAAAGAAAATTGTAAGAAAGGCTTTCATAACACATGGTCTTCCATGGATTTTTTTATACGTTGTTTTATATATTATAAACACAATACAGAGTTTATGTATACTGTACTTTATGTTATGCGTTATTCTCAGTATTCTTTTATGATGATTTTTATTCCACGTTCCTTCTCTCCCATTAGTTTAGAATGGTTGATTTGTACGTATTTGCATCAACCCCGACGAAAAGACCATTTTGTGATAAATTTGAAAGCATTTTCAGTACTTCTGCAAAGAAATATTTTATTTTCCCGTAAAATTTTTATTGAACGTTTCTCCTCATGTTCTTGCAAATTATTGCATTCATCTCATTATATATTTTTCATTTCATTTCTCAAATGATTTCGATACAATTACGCAATAGAATCATTCATCTAAAATGTATGTACTATGCTGTTTTTGTTCACAACTTCTACGTTTTAAATTTATTTTCACTTTTGTACACAATTTATTCCTGCATTTGGTGTTGCAGATTGTTCATTTTCAACGTGTCTTGGGAAAAATCATTAATCTTCAGCTCTTACCAGGCCAGGATATTAATTTTCAAAGTCCCACCCCCTTCGGAAAATCAAATGGTCGTCACTTAAGTGCCTTACTTTTTTCAAACTTGAACTAGATATCTATTTTTTTTTTTTACAAATTTGTACGTTCAGATTTATTGTAATTAATTGATTCAAGTGTTCAAATCATTGTTTTAATAAATCATCTTAATCGTTTCTATCTTTTGCTTGTTTTATTTGCTTTTGAGGTAATTAAAATGAAAATCCAAAATCTATGACAAACTTAGGAAAATCATACACCAAATGCTTTCAAAAAGAAATACACAAACAAACAAAAAATAACATAATGCCTCTCTTAAAACGAAATTTTTCATACACACGAACATGACTACTTTTAAAATTCAAACAATCAACAACGGTCCTTCAAAAACTTACTAATAGATAAAAGCAATTCGAAACTCTGTCCAGTCTCGCGCATGTCTCAGCAACGATGTATACATGCGACATATATATATGTCAAATTCGATTTGGGCCTTAGTTCAGTTCAAACAAAGGCTAGCTGAAGTTACTCAACAGAAATGCATACGTTCTTAACTAAACATTATATACCAAAAATGCAGATTAATTCACATCCCATTTAATCGATTTTTAAAATATGAATAAGTAAGACAGATATATCGCGCGGTTTAATGAATGGCTATTATTTATTTTGAATTTATTGAACCATAAAATTAATTTTTGACTCTTCACACTGACTGATAATCCGCGAATTTATTGAACCATAAAATTAATTTTTGACTATAAGATAAGATAAGATAAGATAAGATAAGATAAGAAAACTTTATTTTGATTCGGCATAAGTTAAAAGACACAACACAAGCTCTAACGAGCTTTTGACCGAATATAAAAACATATACATAACATAAAAACAGTCTAATTTGACATATAAAACAACCTGTTATACGAAGTTAAATCTCACTTACATAGCATGCAATAAAAATTTAGCAACAAAATTAAAATGAAATAAAACATGCTAGACCAGAGCAACCAAAAGCAACATAAATAATAAACATCTCAAGAATTATCTGCAAGCAGAACAGCGACATTCCAAACCGTTCCAGGACTGAACAAGACTTTTAAAATATGAAAAACTATTTTCAGTCCTGAAATGGTTTGGAAGGCTGTTCCATAAAGTAGCGGCAGCAAATTTGAAAGATTTTTTACCGTAACGGGTTGACTTTACCTGTGGAACATCCAGAATATTTACATACCTGAAAGAATACTTAGATTTTTTGACACTCATCAAATTTTGTAAGCACACAGGAGCTATATTATTTATAATCTTAAAAGTTTCTAGAGCCATTGTTCTAATCCGTCTAATCTGCAAGGAGGGCACCTTCGCTTTAAGTAAGAGGTCCTCGTAGGGGCTGGTAAAATCCTCATATACAAAACGGAGTGCTCTTTCCTGCACCTTTTCTAATTTTTTGGAATTTTTCTCAGTGCAAAAATGCCATGCCAAAGGACAAAAATTAAAATTACTCAGAATAAAGGTATGAAAAATAGTAAGTTTACTAAGTCTATCCAAAACTGAGCCCAAACGTTTTAAAACATTTAATTGCTGTGATGCCCTCCTACAGATTGAGCTGATATGAACATCAAAATTTAACTGATAGTCAATTTCAATGCCTAATAATTTTACTGTTTTTTCACATGTAAGGTTCAAGTTTTGAATATGTATAGATGGGTTTTGTTCAAAGGTCTTTTTGCCAACAGCCAAAACTTGAAACTTATCGGGATTTGCTTGCATTTTATTCACCCGGAACCACTCAATAAGTATTTTTGACTCAGATTCCAAAGTTGAAATTAATAAATCAAAATCTGGAGTACAGAAAGACAAAGTATTGTCATCTGCATAGTTATATAAACTACCATTTTTAACAAAAAGAAAAATATCATTTATAAATATGTTAAACAACAATGGCCCTAGTATAGAACCCTGTGGTACGCCCTTATGGATGTCAGCCCAACCACTCAGAACATTGTTGACTTTAATTTGTTGTTTACGATTAGATAAATAGGACTTTAAAAGAGCAACTGCATGGGGGATACACCATATGCTGATAATTTATCTAGCAAGATATTGTGAGGCAGGCAGTCAAAAGCCTTAGAAAGATCCATTAATACCGCTGCAATGTACTGGTTTTTATCAAGAGCTTCACGCCAATCTTCTTACACTCTGAGAAGTGTGGTCTGACATCCATGTCCACGTCTAAAAGCACACAAAAAAGGATTAAATATTTTATCAAAGTATTCAGTTAGTTGAATTTCATATATTTTTTCAAAGATTTTAGAAAATATGGGTAAGACACTAACTGGTCTATAGTTTGTTTTTAATAATGGGTCTGTCTTTTTATGAAGGGGGTCACTTGGGCTTCTTTAAGTTTGTCAGGGAAACAGTTATTTTCAATTGACAAATTTACCAGTTGTCAGCTGTGGTGCAATATAAGATTTACATTTTTTTACTATTTTTGCTGGAATACCATCAGCTCCTTCACATTCAATTCGCGGATTATGTAAAATGTGAAGAGTCAAAAATTAAATTTATGGTTCAATAAATTCAAAATAAATAATAGTCATTCATTATAATAAATTTCTATCAAAATAAGGCTCAAAGAGCTTTTTATATTATTTATATTAACAATAACAACGTACACACATGTTGGCGTATGAATACACAACGTCAGAGTGGGCGTGTCGCCATAAAAATTGACAACATTGAAAATAAAGGTAATACTTTTAACCAATCAGAAGACAGTAAATACACCAAATTTATTTATTGATTATTGGTTACTTAACGTCTAGTGATAAATATTCCTGGCATTTTATCCAATTTATCCAATAAATAGGACTGCAAAGTTTATCAACGTGGATAAAGGGCGGCAATAGGTCTGCCACTGGAAATTGAGTGAATCAATATTGCATGAATAGGGTTGGAATATTTGGGCCGTGTAATGATAGACCACCCGGACCCCAAAGAGTTGTTGCAAAGGTGTCTTTTATGTGCAGAAGGCGTGGGATTTTTTTTAAACGAGGTCGGCCCCATTCTGATTAGACGTGGCTGCGTATTTATACATCCCGCATAAACAATATTTCAATTAGGAAATAATTACATATAAACACAAATATATGGGCTCTCAAATTCTAATTAATAAGTTAATCAAACAAAATTCACGAAACAAATCGAAAACATTTACACGAAGACAAGGGCACAGTTTATCATATAGTGATAACAGGTCTCATCTGTAGCAACCTAGTTATTGACTCCAGGTAATCGACATATTGTTTTTACGTTACAGTGTTGCGAAACACCGGTTTTATTTTTATTTTGAAATATTTAAAAGGCGGATTAAAAGAAGATATGGAGAAAGGATCACCATACCCTGCACAACAACCACCACCCCCACAGTACAATCAACCTCCACCAGGTAAGACCAGTTTTGGCAAATGTTTTATTTACATTTTCATTTTTAGATTTATGGATCGATTACTGCCCTTGATATTTTGTGTAAACACATGATAAACACCGTCTGGTTCAACTTGTCAATTTTCTGATTTGTCAAAATTCAAGGGTTGAAATTAGTAGATATATTATTCATTATAGAATACCATTTAACATTCAACATTGTATGCAATGCGCATTTTATTTAAAATGGATGAAAACGTCAACACAGAATATATTCATATTAATGACCCCATTAATATGATCAACTTACAAAAAATAAAATAGCATTGTACGGTGATAATTTTTTGAGTGACTGAATTCAGTCACCTGATTGCATCTTTATATCACATAATTCAACAAGTACAATAGAAAGTAACATTACCATTTTATTCGTAAAATATCTATCAAATACATTTGTACTTGTTGCTTCTTAACTAAAACATATTACTGTTAATTCAGATGAAACAGAATTCGGATTATAGATTAATACAAGCAACATATAACAGGATAACAGCTAAATGAAATTAACTCTTTATCCTGTTCATTATTTTGACAAAATGTTGACTGAATTCAGTCACACAGCATTTGATAGAAGCTATAAGAAATTGTACTAAATTAGAGTGTTTTCTAAGACTTAAATTACACCAAATGTGATTACATAGTATACACATCTATAATACAGATGACTGAATTCAGTCAATACAAATTCAGGAAATATTTGTTGAAAAGACCAATTCTGCAGCAGTAAAAAAAATATTATGACTGAATTCAGTCACAAAATTAGGTTTACACATTTATATTCACTAGAGCATCAACTCATAGCAATGTGTATTGCTGTTTAGTTCAGTCAGACAGGGAATAATTTAGGGATGTCACTCTAGTAACCATTTATAAAAAGACACTGAAATTATTTCCATGGCGATTATCCCTCCCCCAATCACTGTCTATTGATTTCGAAAATGCATAGTTAGTTTACAGGTTTATGTTTGTGATTTGGTCAGTTTAAGGCTGAACATTAACGGTTATTACATAAGATGTGCAGTTGTACTAGATTTTGCACATCTCATCTCTATAATGATTATCCCCCCTTTGGGATGAACTTCACCTTAACATATTAATTTTTAATTAAAAGGGTTTTTCATTGTTTAAGAAAAAAATCAAGCACAATTAACTGTTAAGTTTCATTGGAAAGAACACAATTTGCAATTTCACCAAAAAACAAAAAACACAAAATACAATGAAAGCCAGAATATACCATATGAAATGTGACAATGTTTTAAATATAGTGTGTAACAACTAGAAGCATCAAGAAGTCTGACTTTCTCACTTAGAAAGGTTAAAAACAAATTGATAAAAACATTGCGAAAAAATGAAAATAAAATGAAGTGAAATCAATTTCAACATTTTTATTTTAATGTCTGGATAATATTATTTATTCAATGTAAATCCAGTAAAAACAATTGTTGTCACTTCATAAATTTAAAAAAGCTTGATTTTTTTTCAAGCGAAAAGCGGTTAAAAACTGGATCACACTTGAGACTTACATGTTCATCTTTTAATAATGTTTTGTAGATCAGCACAGTATTTAAAGTTTAAAAAAAACTGTTTCACAAAAATAGAGATTGTCTAAATGCAACATTGTGATAATATGTATCATTTTGAAATTTCTTCTTTCAACTATCCCATATTAATTTCAATTGTGCTGGCATTTTGTAAAGATTAACATTATCCCACTTAAAAGAGACAAGAATGTGTTCAGTTGTTGTTTGTTCAAGATTTTGGAATCAATGTACCAGTCTGCTACTACTGCCCAAAATATCCATTAAACCAATCGAATGTGTTGCTGTCACTTTTGTTACTTCTATCCATGGTAAATTCTCCAGACTGTCTGGTCTGATCAATATCCATTGTTCTGCTTGAAGATACTGTGGGTACTCATAGAAAGTAAAATCTAAAAAAGAAAACAAATTATTCTAATGATCTATTTCCGAAAAAAAAAAAGATGATTTAGATAGTGAGGATAATACCATTCTTTGTAAATGCATTTCCATTCAGAGTAACGGTACATGTTGCTTCATTTTTTTTTAATTACGTTACTTGTAAAAACACCTTATTTCATAAAAGCATATATTTTTTTAAATTTTTAAATTTAGTTTAATTACATCAAATACCAGAAACAGTTAATGATTTTAATTATTGCTATATGTTCAACAGTTAGCCGGATTTGTTGAATAGCATCAGACAAAGGACATGGTACAAGATAAGGGACTTATATTTTGGCAGAATATTTTACTTAAATTCTTAATTTTCCTTTTAAATTGAGGAAATGCCAAATTAAAAACTACTATTTTTCGGTCAGTGTCATCACAATCCATCAAAGTTATACACTCTTATGAAGAAAAACCTTAATTTTGAATAAACAATTTTTGACTAATTTCAACAGGGTGTTTACAAAGGTATTGGCAGCATGAATGGACCACCATATGTTTTGTAATAGTGTGAATTTGAACCATATATATAATTTGATAAGTTTTTATTACTCTTAGTATGTGACCAATATTATTCAGATAAAAAGGCCTATAAATGCATAAATACATTTCTAACTGTACTACTTGTAATGATTTACCACAAACTGGTATATCGATAAGGATCGCTTTACCAGAAGCTCTGGAAAAGTATTTTTAAATCTAATTTAAATGCTGGAAACCCTTGATACATATTTGATGATAAAGCTTAGAAAAACTCAGTTTTTAAGAAGTCTAGGTCCGATGTTAGAATAGGTAACAGAAGAAACTAAACAAAAGGACAATGATACAGCAATTAACAAAGGACTACTAGCAGTTACTGACATGCCTGTTCCAGACCTCAATTATATGAAAATCAAGATTAGGAATTTAGTATCATACCATCAAAATATACAAGAAGAACATAACATGCATTTCTTTACTTTTTGTGTGTCTATGATTGTTTAAAAAATAAGGAGATGTGGTATGATTGCAAATATGACAACTATCTACCAAAGTTCAAATGAAGTGGATGTAGGCAATTATAGGTTACTGTACGGCCTTCAACAATGAGAATAAAATGCTCCGCTGCGGCGCAGCTTGATACGACCGCAGAGGTCGAACCCTGAACAGTTGGGGCAAGTATGGACACAACATTCAAGCTTGATACAGCACTGAATTTGGATTGTAATTAAATATTTGACACAGCATAGGTTTCTGACACAGAATGAATGTGGTCTAAGAACTTACATTTTTTTAATTTACCTATTCAAACCATATCATTATTATTTGCTTTTATATATAAATCAGAAATAACCAATTTAAAATGGAAAATTTTAAAGAAAAAAAAGGAAAAAAAATCCCCCCCCCCAATTTTTTGAACCCCCTTATGATTCATCACCCCCCAAAACTTAATCCCAGCCTTCCCTTTGTGGTATGGTACCTTGCAGTACAATTTCAGAGAGATCCATACACTTGAACACAAGTTATTGTCTGGAAACTAGAAAAATGCTTGTTTTTTGGCCCCAAATTCCTAAACGTTTAAGGCAATTACCCCCAAACTCGAACCCAGCTTTCCCTTTGTGATATTGAACCTTGCAGTACAATTTCATAAAGATCCATACACTTGCACACAAGTTATTGTCCTGAAACTAGAAAATGCTTGTTTTTTTGCTCCTTTATGGCCCCTAATTCCTAACATTTTGAGGGAATTACCCCCAAAATCAATCCCAGCCTTCCCTTTGTGGTATGGTACCTTGCAGTACATTTTCAGAGAGATCCATACACTTGAACACAAGTTATTGTCTGGAAACTAGAAAAATGCTTATTTTTGGCCCCTTTTTGGCCCCTTATTCCTAAATGTTTTGGGCAATTACCCCCAAACTCAATTCCAGCTTTCCCTTTGTGATATGGAACCTTGTAGTACAATTTCAGAAAGATCCATACACTTACACACAAGTTATTGTCATGAAACTAGAAAAATGCTTGTTTTTTGCCCCTTTTTGGCCCCTAATTCCAAAATTTTGGAGGCAATTACCCCTAAAATCAATCCCAGCATTCCCTTTGTGATATGGAACCTTGTGGTACAATACCAGAGAGATCCATACACTAACACACAAGTTATGTCTGGAAGTTACAAAAATGCTTATTTTTGGCCCCTTTTTGGCCCCTAACTGTTGGTACCATAACCCCCAAAATCTATCCCCACCTTCCTTTTGTGGTATTGAACCTTATGGTAAAATTTCATAGAGATCCATTCACTTAAACTAAAGTTAGAGTGCGAAAACCAATGTGTCTTCGGACGACGACGACGACGCCAACGTCATACCAATATACGACCGCAAAATTTTTTTGCGGTCGTATAAAAACCCATACTGTATGGCTATATAGTACCGTAATAGTCGGCTATTAAAGGACCGACATGAAAATATAAAGCAATTCAATTGACATAACTAACGGCCTAATTTATAACAAAACAATTTACGAAAAACAAATATGACAGCTGTAAACCAACGACAACTACTGAACTACAGGCTTGATTTTTTTTCAAAATAGTTATATAAAAACTAGAAATCTATTTAAAAGAATATGAAAGTTCTTCACACACACATAAAGATTCTAACATCAACCTCAGTTGGTCTCTGTTAGATACTTGTCTTACATATCTATATTCGAACTGTATCTTCTGGGGTTTTTTTTAATAGTAAGTTTAAACAGTCCGGGGAATTTTTGAAATAATCACTTATAAATAGCAAAAAATATCAACTTAATTGGGGTCTGAAGCCTTAATAAAAAAATATAATTTTGTATTTTGTATTTTGTAGTTTTACTAAAATTTTAAACATACAGGTTTATATTATATCTTATTATGAGTAAAATTGAAAAAAAGAAACCTCTTTAAAATGATTTTTTGAAATAAAATAGAATTATGATATATTTATATAAGTGATTTTCATGTCATTATCCCAGATTCAGTACA